CAAGGCTCAGGATGATGGGTGGGCAAGGATTCCTGGGATTCGTGACCCTCGAGGGGTGAGTCATAATCCCTGACATGGAATGCCCTTTGCAGTTGACCGCATGCCACACACTCCTCAGTTCATCTCATCTTCCAATGCCCCCTTTCCAGGTGAGGACACCAAAGCCCATATTCAAAGGCACAGAGCAAGTCAGGCCACAGCAGAGGCTACTACAGACTTTGCTCCTTCCTTTTGTGAACTACACAGACTGTAGGGGGGCAGATGTCCACTGAAGGAAAGGATGAGCTGATGAATGAATGGAAATTAANTTCCAGGTGAGGACACCAAAGCCCATATTCAAAGGCACAGAGCAAGTCAGGCCACAGCAGAGGCTACTACAGACTTTGCTCCTTCCTTTTGTGAACTACACAGACTGTAGGGGGGCAGATGTCCACTGAAGGAAAGGATGAGCTGATGAATGAATGGAAATTAACCCAGAAAGGAAATTGACACATTTTTTTCATCAACAGATCTATCAGTGCGCTCAGAGAAGCCTGGACAGGCCTAACCTTTAAGGCCAACGTCAAAGAGGGTGGGCTGGGGGTGGTCCCCACTGTTACCCCTGGCGACTCCCCTGCCGCCTGTGTGTGTTTGTGGCAGGAGGTGTGGATGTGACTGGGAGAGAAGACGGGAAAAGAGCCACATTATGCGAATGACAGAGGCGCAGGGAAGCCGTCAAGCCACCTGATAAACTCCCTCCCCGGGGAGATGAGGAAACTGACCCCAAAGAGGGGGAGGGACTTGCCCAAAACCACACAGGCAAGTGCGTGGCAGTGACGCCTTAGCAACGGGCTCTGGGCTAAGTGAGAACGAGCCGGATGGAGAAGCGTGTGCTTAGGAGGTTGGGGTCCTGCTCTCGGAGAGACCACCATGGAGAAGGACTTATGCCCTTCCTGCCCGGCAGGGGGCGGGGGTGACTGGAGCTTGGGCCCGCAGCCTATGCAGACCGGAGGTCTCCAGCCCCAGGCTCCAGGTGCCCGCAGGCAGGGCGGGGTGGTGGGTGGGTGGGCATACCTGGCCGTCCACGACACCTGCCTCCTCCAGGGTGATCTCTGGCTGGGTCAGCAGCTCCCGGCCATCGTAGTCGCCCATCTTCCAGAGGCGGGACTCCCGCTGAACAACCAGAAGCTTCTTTAGCTCCGCCTCCACAAAACCTGAGAGCCAGAGACGGGTATGGGACAGGCAGGAGGGGGCAGCTGCAGCCTGCCTGGGATCTGAGGAAGGCGAAGTGGCCCAGCTCTCCAAACCTCTCCCTGCCCTGCGTGGCCCCTGGTCACCCCCAGTCGGGCCCCTGGAGCCCGCCGGACTCCACCTCCCCACCGCCCAGCCTGTCCCAGGACGCTCACTCGGCTCCCTGCTCCCGTCGTGAATGTGACTCTCTTTACCTGCCTCCCTGGGGACAGCGTTCACTCCAGGGGCAGACATCTGCTCCACCCCGCCCCGCCTCCTCCAGCTACCAAGTCCAGCGTTACCAGTCCGGAGTAACCCACTTCGCGGGGGTTCAAGCCCCAGCTCTGCCACTGATAAGCGAGGTGATCGTCGACAAATTACTTAACCCCTCTGGGCCCCAGTGATCTCACAGGGAAGCGGAGACTATATAACAGGACCGACCTCAGAGTCAGAATGCAGCATTGCATGAAAAGAGCTTAGGAGGGGGTTTGGCCCATGGTAAGGAAAATGTCAACGGCGACTTTACTGGAGGCCGTCGTTCATTACCACTAAGACATCTGCTCGCCACACCAGAGTGGCGAGGTGGCTGCGATGGGAGAGGGGTGCCCCCTGGGCACCGTCACAGCAAGTGCACACCTGATGGGAAAACTGGGGGTGCAGGGGGCGCCACTGAAGGAGCTAGAATTCTGGGCTGGGAAAGGGTGGTGCTGGAGGAGCCACTGTCCGGGTCGTAACCCGCCGCCTCCCCCTCAGGCCTCCCCCGCCTCCCGGCCTGGGCGATCATTTTAGGTCCTATGGCTCCCCCTGGTGGTATTAACTGGTATCGCATCTGAGGGCCGCTCCATCAAAGCGGGGCTGGGGGCGGGGTGAGGGGGTGCGGGCAGCACACCCACCTACTGTGTCCGTTGACCTGAAGGCCTTATGCAGCGGTGACTGGAGGGTGACGGTGCCTGGGACGCAGAGCTTGAGGGCGCTGTCTGCCTCCTCCTCCGCCTCCTCTTCCTCGCCTGGCTCCTCTCGGGGCAGGCCTTCCTTGAGAGGGAACTGGGTGTGACCGCCACCCCGCAGGTGAGGAGGGCGGCCCGAGCCTGGGCCCCCACCCCGACCCCGACCCCCCAGCAGAGAGCAGGAGGCGGGGAGACGGGCGCCGCTCTCCCGGGCCCACCCCGCCTCCGCCCGCCTCCGCGCGCTGGGGCCCCACGGACCTTGGCCATGGCCCCCTTCTGGAGCCGCTTGTACAAGCCGCGGAGGCGGTTCCAGGGAGATGCCCCCACCTTGGAGGAGGCCAGCCTTAGGTCACCTGTGGAGGGCAGTGGTCACTGGGGGCCCACAGCAAAGGGTGGAGGCCCAGCCTGAGGAGCACGGGTGCTTCGGGAGGGCTGAGCTAGGGCCAGCTTTCCTTGTGTCCTTTGGCGAATGCCTGCTATATGCCAGGCACAGTTCTAGGCATTTCACAAAGAGAGAACGTCTCACTTAATCCTTGCTAATGCCCTCTGACAGGGGTGCTATCATGCTCCTATTCTACAGATGGGGAAACTGAGATGCACAAAGGCTGAGCGACTTGCCGCCCTCACACCGCCTGGGCAGAGTGGCACTGGGATCCAGCTCTGCTCAGACTGCCCCGCCTCCTCCCCAGCCCGACGCCCCGGCCGTCCCCCGGGGCCTGCGGCCACCGCACTCACCATCAAGCAGACGCTCCTTCTCCCTGAAGGCCTCGGGGCTGAAATCCAGTGGCCCCACAGCCCTCGGCACGCATCCCAGCTCCACCGCCAAGGCCTGGGCAGAGTGGCTCCTGATCCCAGAGCACAGTCAGATGGGGGTGGCAGGCAGGGCCCAGAGAGGTGGTGAAGGTCCCAAACCCCCACCAAGGCCCTGCGCAGCTCCTCCAACCCCCTGCTCCCCACTGCTCTCTGCTCTGCCCTCTGGGGTCTTCATCAGAGAGGAGGATGATCCCCTCAAAAGTAGGGAGGAGGGGAGGGCCCCAGCAAGGAGCTGGGAAGTGATGGGAGGCCAACACCCCACACGCACCTTTCCTAGCCCCTGGCCTATACCCTTGTCTTTTCAGTGCCCCTATCCACAACCCCTCACTTACAGGAGGACCCCCGTCTCAGCCTCCCTCTGTCATCTCCAGGTTCCTCTCCACCTTGATGTGAACGACCATGCCCACCCAGTCCTTTGCCCACCCAAGGAGTCCGTTCCTGATAGTGAAAGTAGCTCAGTCGTGTCCAACTCTGCGACCCCATGGACTTTACAGTCCATGGAATTCTCCAGGCCAGAATACTGGAGTGGGTAGCCTCTCCCTTCTCCAGGGGATCTTCCCCACCCAGGAATCAGACAGGGGTCTCCTGCCTTGCAGGTGGGTTCTTTAGCAGTTGAGCTACCAGCGAAGCCCCTGGGCTGTCCCCAGTTCGGGTCCTCAAACCTCAGGCCCATGTCCTCCTCTCTCCTGACACCCTGACTCCCCCCAGCTCCTCCATCCCCAGCCCAGCCCCTCACCTTTCTGAGGTCCCCGTATTCCCTGAGGCCTCCCCTGTGGCCGCCTCTTCCCTCTCCTCCAGCTCAGACAGGTGGCCCAGCACCTCCTGGCTTCCTCTGGGCAGGACTGGCTTCACCTCTACGCTCCGAGTCATGACCCTCAGGACCTCTGCGGCTGGGGAGGTCTGGGGCCCTGGGTCCCCCATCTCCAGCCTCGAGGGGCTGGGCCGCGGCAGGGCCTCAGGGCGGGCGCAGGTCAGCCTGGTGGGAGGCCTGGACTCCCTCCATGCGGCTCGTCCCCGACGGTTGGTCATCAAAGGGACGGCATCCTGCCCCCTCAGGCCCTTCCGCGGGGCCTTGCCTGAGCTCTTCGGGCTGCGCTTGCTGCCCACCAAGCTCCGGAAAAAGCAGAACATGGAGGAGCGGCCCAAACTTCGGGGTCGAGGGCCTGAAGCAGGGGCCTCCATCCTGAGAGGGTCCCTGACTCGGAGCGGCCGCAACAGCCACCACAGGACCAACTGCTTAAGAACAGAAGGGGGTTTTCAAATTGAAAACCTCCAGTTGGAAACTTCCAAGAGTTCTAGAAGGGGGGGGGGGCATTTGTTGGGAGCAGAGTGGGCAGGGGTTTGACAAGGCCTGGGGAGCCAGCTGGGGTGAGGCCCCAGGAGACAGTGGGGGGGCAGGCAGAGCAGTCCCGAGGAACCCTAGCTCTGAGGATGGGGTCCAGGGCAGCCCAGGGCTCTCTCCTCCCCGCCTGTCCTTCCCCAGCGGCCCTGCCATCCTTGGGATCCACTCATTCCCCGCAGCCGGTGGCTGTCCTCCCCCTCCCCTCCCTTCTCAGCGTCCAGCTGGCGTGGGCCCCCCGTGCCCTCCTTCCTGCGTGCCTGCCCGTCACACTCAGGGTGACGTCACATTTCCCCTGTGGAAACCACCAAGGTAGGCGCCTGGAGCAGTCTTAACTGCACGCTGAATCTCAGTATTATTCCCGGAGACCTGATTATAAACCCATCTCAGTGACCTCGGGAGAGGTTCCTTAAGCCAGTCCAGCCTCAGTTTGTTCCCCCGTAAGATGGGTGTGGCCCGCTGCACCAACTTCCCAGGGTTGTTCCAAAGTGCTCTTATTTATTTATTTTTATATTTATTCATTTGGCTTCACTGTGTCTGAGCTCAGCATGTGAACTCTTAGTTGCTGCATGTGGGCTCTAGTTCCCTGACCAGGGATCGAACCCAGACCTCCCTGAGTTGGGAGGACAGAGTCTTAGCCACTGGACCACCAGGGAAGTCCCTCCAAAGGGCTTTTAAAGCGCCTGGCACACAGTGGGTGGGGCTCAAGGAACCTCCCCATCCCGGCTGTTTTACTGACACTGAGGGAAGGGAGCAGGGGACAGACCAAGAAGGAGAACCGGGAATCAGGGTGGGGGAAAAGCTGTGGGGGAGGAGGAGGGAGGCCGCTTTCTCCTGCGGAGCCCAGACCCGCCTCAGGCCACGGGCTGTGGCTTCGCATCCGGCGGCCACTGAGCTACTTCCTCTAGAGGGAGCTGATGGGAGCCGGGAGCCGCTGGCGCCTCTATGATCGCCGCAGCCCCGCGGGTCCCTAGGGCCGCGCTGGGACCGGCAGAGGCTGCACTCCAGACACCGGGGATCCACTGACACCCCTTCCTGGAAGCCAAGCCTGGGGACCCGACCCTGGGAGCAGTCCCTGGCCCCTCAGGATCTCTGGCCTCCACCCCGCTGGGCCATCCCGGGCCTGGGTCAGGGTCCGGGGAGGTAAGCCAGGACAGTCCTGCCCATGCCCCCCTCCCTGGGCAGCCCCAGGCCCAGGGGTGAGGCAGGGAGCCCCTGGGGAGCCCGCTGGGGAGGGGGATGCCGCGAAGCTTGCCCGGGCAGCTCCACCAACCCTTGAAGGTGGCCCAATCCAGCCGGGGCTCCCTCGGGCTGCCCCTCAGGCTGCGTCCCCTCTTGCCCTGGCCCTGGCTGCCCGAGAATCGTGTGCCAAAGAGCCAGGTTCTTTAGCAGTCTGGGGGATGGGAGTGGAGGTCAGAGTCAAGGTCAAGGGCGGCGGGAGATCGTTCACAGTGCTTCCTGCTGCCCCGGGAGTCCTAAGACCAGGTCAGGATCTGCCCCCCTTCCCCCCAACTCCAGCAGCATCCTGGGCCTGGCAAACCCAAAAGGTGGGGCACAGTGGACTCTCCCCACCAGGAAGTCAGGCCACTTGGATGGGGGCAGAGGAAGTCCCAGGTCGGCTCAGGCCTCTGGCCCTGGGGCGAGTTCCAAGGCTCCATATTATCCCCAGTGGTGAGCCCCAGGGGTAGTGGGAAAGGGAGTCGAGGTGCAGTTAGCATCCTTCAGCCCTGATGATGTCCTGGGGGGCACCGCGTTTGGGTACCAAGGGAGGGAGAAAGGCGCCTTGTTTGGGAAGCAGCTTCTAGGATGCGGGGGTGCCAAGCAAAGTTCTGTCTTAAGCAGGCGGGGGACCGCGGGCCGCAAGAGGGGCGAGTCCCTTCTCCCTGTCCCTGCCCCTTTGACAGTGAAGGGTGGGGCACACAGGTGGACGCTCCCCACCCTTCTCCTGAGGCCCTTTGGAAAATGGCCCCAGGCCTGAGGGGGGAGGGTATACGGTCCACAGGCCCTCCCAGGGAGGAGGGGGTACACCGGCCCTCCCTGGGAGGAGAGGGCGGCATGTGTGTTAGGCCCAGGCTGGGTGGGCCCTCCCGAGTGATGGGAGGAGGGGGGCTTCCCGCCTGGGTGATGGAGGCAGCTTTGGGGCACGGGGCAATGAGGAGCGTGCAAACTGAAAGTGAAACAGCTTATGTCCAGGAAATACTTGTGCTGCCCAGGGCTCACTAAGCCGCCAGGGGCTGTGGTCAGAACCCGGCGGAGGGGGAAGACGGGGGCCGGAGACAGGAGGGCGAGGGGTACACGTGGCTTCCTCAGCCACCTGCTAGGCAGGCAGGGCAAGGGCAGAGACCGACACCAGCAGGGAAGGCGGCCCTGCAAAGGAGCCTCTTTGAGGTCCCACAGACTGGGAAGCAAGTCTGACATGAGCACTGAGGAGAGAATGGACACGTGTGGAAATTCAGATCGCCCTGAAGGCTTGACTAGCCCTGCGGCCTGGGGCCTTCCTTGTGCCTCAGTTTTCCCACCTGTGCAGTGGGCATGACGGTGCCTACCCTGCCTCCTCCCGCACGTGTGAGGAGGGCACCAGAGGCTCTCGCGAGATGTGTGCGGCTAACAGGCCCGAGTTGGAGAACAGATGTGCTCTGACTAGCCGTGGGGGGAGTGGGACCTTCCGGGACGGCCTTCAGGGTCACTGGCTGGAAGGTGGCGAGTCTGCAGTGAGCATGGACTGGATAGGGTGCAGGGGGCCCCAGCGGCAGCGGAAGGAAACCCCGCCTCTGAAACTCGCCTCCCCTGCCCAGAGTGGGGTAAGACGTGACGAGACAGCCGCTTGGCCACCACTGTGGCCTCCCCGCCCCAGGGCCTGGGCTGGTCCCCGGTGGGGGGAGTCTTGGCTGCCTGGCCTTCTTCAGCCCCAGTCTTCCTTGAAGAGCCGCCAGTGAAGTGATAAGTTCTTGGGTCAGTGGGTCTTTCCGGAGGCGGCCCTCCACACCTCCATGGACTGCCGGAGCCCCTGGTCCCATCTCTGCTTTCCTATCTGCCCCCAACAGTCTGACACTCCTCTTCTCCCCAGGACCTGAGGAATGGCTTCCGGACAAGGCCCAGGTCCCCCCGGGCAGGGCTGCGGCGAGCCTGACCCCTCCTCCACCTCGGGTAAGAGTCTGTCTGCCCCCTCACCCACCCCATAGCCACCGGGGCCAGCTGGGAGGTTGGCAAGAGCAGACCCGGACGGTCCCAGGGGCCCACCTCAGTTTACCCGCCTTGCGCAAAGGGGAAAAGCACGTCCCCACCCAGTGCAGGCGGCCAGCCGGCTCAGCAGCCGAGGTGCAGGCAAGACCCAGCCCCGGGAGCGGCGGGGGGAAGGACGCGTGGGGCCTGAGGAGGCCACACTGCCCTCCCCGGGCAGCCAGCAATGGGCGAGCAGCAGGGAAGGCGTGGGCGCGGCTGTCTTATCCCAGCTGGGGAAATAAGGAAGTGAGGCGGTTTATCACCTGGTCAGGGCCGCCCAACGGGGAGATGGGCTGTTAGACTCTGGGGAGGAAGGAAGAGAGTGCCCTCTCCCAAGGGGACCACCCGGAAGGCCGGCAGCTCTGCCACCCAACACAGGCTGCTTCCTGGCCTGAGCATCCCAGGCCGCTCACTATATCCCAGTGTGACTTTCCTGGGCTGCAATTTCAAACTCTGTTTCCCATGGTCCCTGAGCCAAGCCGGGTGCCTTGGACACTAAACATCAGAGACCCAAACGCCCGGGAGTCCATCCTGGCCACACTGCTCACTCCAGCCACATGACCTCACGCACGTGACGCTAACACCGTGCCTCAGTTTCCCCATCTATAAACGGGGCAGTCGCCTCCTCCACAAGGCTGCTGTGAGAAGACAGCTCTACTCGGAGTCAGCCCTAGGTGTCACCTGAGGGCCAGAGGAGGGACAGGTGTGTCCCCAGGCAGAGGGAACCCTCCTCCCCAGAGCACTTCCTCCCTGACTCCCAGCTTTGGTCCCCAGAGGAGCAGGTGGCCCGGGACACGGAGGAGGTCTTCCGCAGCTACGTCTTTTACCGCCATCAGCAGGAGCAGGAGGCCGAGGGGGCGGCTGCGCCTACTGACCCAGAGATGGCCACCTTGCACCCAGAACCCAGCAGGTGAGCTGCGGCCCTTGGGCCCACAGGAACGTGCTGAGAGAAGCGGAGGCTCACGCAGGGTCGCCGTGTCGGTTCTGGGAGCGGAGCAAGCCAGGAGGGGCTTCTCCTGCTGCTGCCCTTTTGCGTTCGGGTCACCACTCCCATCCCAGAACCGGCACCCTTTTCAGCACAGTCTGGCCCTTGTGCCCAGGCCAGCCCTCGTGTCTGAGAACACGGTCAGGACTTCCCAGGCGGGGCGCCCCAGGCCAGGGCATCTAAGGCAGGCAAGAGCGGTTCACTGCCAGCCCGGGCCCTAACTCACTGGCCGCCTCCTGCTCCTCCAGCACCATGGGGCAGGTGGGCCGCCAGCTCGCCATCATCGGGGACGACATCAACCGGCGCTACGACTCGGAATTTCAGGCCATGCTGCAGCACCTGCAGCCTACGGCAGAAAACGCCTACGAGTACTTCACCAAGATCGCGTCCAGGTAGCCCCGGCCACCACCCCTCCACGGCGCGCCAGGCTCTGTCTGTGAGACGGGAGACAAGCTTCTCTGCTGGTGTCGGGAGATGTGTTTTCTGTCCCCGCCTCTGCTGTTAACTCACGCATGGCCTCGGGCCCCTGTCTTTCTCTTTCTAAGCCCAGGCTCCTCATCTTTGTACACAAGGGCACAGCCTTCATGAGCCCTAACACCAACATGAGCTGGCAGATCAGGACTGTGGGGGGGCGGCCCACAGTGGGGGTGTCCCCAGAGCTCCCCAGCACTGCTGGGACACAGCTGTCGTTCTGATTTGGAACCACATTTCACACCAAAGATAGTTGCTGAACCTGGCTTCAGCCCACCAGGTCCTGAAGATGACTTCCTGATGCTGTGATCTGGCCTCAAGAGACCAGCAGCCTGGGCGAATCCTAGCTTCACCATTTACCGGCTTTGTGGCACATCCTAGCCTTCAGTTTCCTGGTCCGTAAACTAGGGGAAATATGCTTAGGACTGCGTGCACACTTAGAGGTGTTAGCCGTTGTCACCATCTGGGTTAAGGAAGTCAGCCTTGGGGCAGATTCGAGGCTGAGGGTGAAGGCAGGAGCAGGAGATGGAATCAGCGCTCAGAGCTGAACGCCTTGCCTGTGTCCTTAGAGGTCACCGCCCACTCCGCTGTGATTCCAAGACTGTCCTAACCTCCTCTTCTGTCCTTTTCTCTCTGCCGTCCCCGGGCTGCCAGGCCAGCAGCAGTGCCCACAGGTAATCTCCCCGCTGCCTCCACCCGCCCGCTCTGCCCTCCAGGCTCTGTGAGCCTTTGCGCCCCCAGCACGGGGCCACAGCCCCAGCAGCAGCGCCCCACTCATCTGCCCTCCGAGCATTCTCCTTTCACAGGGACATGGGCTCTTCCCAGATCGAGGCCAGGCTGGGGCAGCCTCTGCCCCCCTAGTTCATGGCTAAGCCATTTTTGCTTTCCAGCAGAGAGGGGATGGGGGTGGGGGGTCCAAAGGGATGGGAGGGGGAAGGAAGATGAAGGGCCCCCCGGGAGTCTCCAGCAACAGCGTCTCCTCTGCCCGCAGCTTGTTTGAGAGCGGCATCAACTGGGGCCGCGTGGTGGCTCTGCTGGGCTTCGGATACCGCCTGGCCCTCTACGTCTACCAGCGCGGCCTGACGGGCTTCCTGGGCCAGGTGACCCGCTTTGTGGCCGACTTCATGCTGCGTCGCTGCATCGCCAGGTGGATCGCGCAGAGGGGTGGCTGGGTGAGTGCCTGAGCATTGGTCACCCCGTCCCTGCTGCTGGAGCCACCCCACCCCGGGCCCCGGGAGCCACCAGCCCTCACCAGCCACCTCCGCCCATGACCCCTCTGTCTCTCCTGGCAGGTGGCAGCTCTGGACTTGGGGAACGGCCCCATCAAGAACGTAGTCATAGTTCTGGCTATGGTTTTGTTGGGCCAGTTTGTGGTACGAAGATTCTTCAAGTCATGACTCCTGGAGGGGTCCTTTGGGGTCCTGAGACCCCTGTGTGAACTTTGGTCCCAGCTTCTCCCCTCACCTCCTCTCCAGCAGGGGTGTCCCCCTGCCCCCCATTAAGAGCACAGAAGCTTTAGTAAGTGGGCACTCCAGCTTTGGAGGGCCCCTGCCCAGGGGCATCCATCAGACTGCTGGGTGCTCCAACACTGCATGGTGCTAACGGGCCCCCTCTCGGAGGGGGGCAGTGGCCTCTCCCTTAGCTCTCTGGGACCCCCTCAGCCATTCTGCTGGGTGCTGGGGAGACTGATAAATTGGGGAAGCAAGAGGCTGGGAACCACTTCTTCCAAGTCGTCATTAACGGTTTTAGCTTTTTATAATACCCTTAGAAGGGCACCCCTCCTTCCCACCAGTCTGCCCAAAGCCAGGACATCTGGGCTGTGGGGGTTAGTAGCTCTACCCTTCCCCAGAATTCAGCAGTTCTGGAAGGTTGAGCTTTAAAGCTGGGCCTGGAGCCCAGACCTGGCCCTTCCTGAGCATCACATTCCCAGGGAACAGGACTGGGGCGGGGGGGGACTGACTTTGGAGGTGGACTCTCAGGGATTTGGGGTGGGGTGGGGTGCAGACCAGAGCTCCTGAGGGCCTCTGTCCCCCCACATGTTACCACTTGCTCCCACCCATCACTACAAGCAGCTCGCCACCCCCCCCCCACTACAGGTGAGGAAGGGAGGGGTCTCAGGTGAGCGCACTGCCCGGGCCCCCACCTCGCCTGGACTACAGGGTTTAGGACTGCATTTGTATTGTCAGGGAAAGGGGCAGGGAGCGCATCGTAAGTTTCTGAGAGAAGGGCTAGAAACACCACTAGGAACCCCAGGGCTGGGGCCCTCCCTTCTGGCCTGGGCACAGTGTAATCCGGGGGTGTGCACAGGGGAACTGTGAATACTTGAACTCCGCCCCAACCTCTACCCTCCGCACCCCACACCTGCCTGAGCCCCTCCTGATGGTGGGGTCAAGTGCCTCGTCTATCTTGCACAGCTGAGGGATTCAGAGGTCAGGGGAGAGGAGTTCTTGATTAAACCAAATGCAGGGAGGGGACGCAGAGGGAGCCGGCTGGCCACCTCCCACCCTCTGAGTGTGTCTGAAAATAAACTGCAACCCCCACTCAGACTTGATCCCTTTTGTCTTCTCCACTGTTCTTCTCTCTTCATCAGGCTGACTGGGGGAACCTGAGCGTGAGTGACTTTCACCTGGTTTTTACTGACAGGTCTCCTCTGGAGCCTCCAAAACGCTGTGGAGGGCTGGGTGTGTTTCTGCAGCCCTCTAGAAGGCCTTGGCCCCTCCCCACTCGCTACCTGCTTCTCCAGGAGCTTTCCTCATTTCTTGGGGTTCCAGGCGAGTTTCCCATTCCCACAGGAAGTCAGGGGTCCCCAAACTGCTAGGCTTGCGTTGCAGAGTTGGTGGAGCAGCTGCCCTTGCCTGGGGACCCCCACAGGGCTGGTTTGAACTCTCCCTTCCAGGGGCCACCACCCACGCTTGGCTCCACCTGGGACTCAGCGTCCCGGCTCCCTCTTCACCATGTCCCCCACAGCTCACACGCACACAAGGCTTTTCATTCTAGGAGTTCTCTGCTGCATGGGAGTCCCTATGGGGAGGCAGCCAGGGGTGATAAAAATAACAAGCACGGAGGCGTTTAAATGTTCCAAAACCGACAAAGTCTTTCCAGTCCTGGGCACCCTGGTCTGTTTTCTGACACCTTTCCAAAAGTGGTCACACTCAAGTCCTAAAGGACTGGGGCTTCTCTTTCACTTCCCCGAGGGCATCTTGCCAATCCCCTGGGCCCTCCGACTTGGTCTTCAAAGAGCCCACGTCCTGCTTGCAGTCGTTGAGAGTGGACCCCTGCGAGCTGTGGGGGCTGGAAGGGTGGTGATGACAAGGGCCCTTGCAATTTCCTGCAGGAAAAGCTTGTAGACAGTTTTTATGGAACACACTCTGCGGAGCTTTATGCTGAGAATTTATCATACGTGCCCAACAATCAGCAGGTATAGCTGTGGCGGGGAGGGTTGTTAAATTCCCATTTTACAGATAAGGAAACTGAGGTACCTGCCCAGAGTCACCAGGTAGAAAGGGTGGGGAGCTGGCACTGGCCACCAGGACACTGGCTCGAGGCTTCACGTGGGGGCCGGAGGGGTGGGGGCCGGGGCCGTTGGTCTCGAGCACAGGTCAGCCACGGGGCGAGGTGGGAAGGCAGAGATCACCTACCCGCCGCGCGGGTGGGAACCACGCGACCGCTCTGAGAACTCCGGAAGGCGAGCAGAGTGCCCGGATCAAAGATGGCCGCCGCGGCCTCGGGCGCGCAAGCGTGCCCCCTTATGGGCGGGGCCTCGAGGCGCACCGCCCACCCAATCCCGGCGGAAAGCTGGACTAAGGGTGGGCGGTGTTGGCGGCTGCGTGGTTTCCACTCTCTCCTGGACGGCCTGGGGAGCAGCCCCCAAATGTTTAGGCCTGTGCCTAGGGTTCCACTCCACCCCGCATTCTGTCAAGATGAAGTTGCCCAAAGAGAAATATAAATACATTCTTAGGGGGGATTCTGGGGGTACAGGGAGCAGATGGGCTTTGCAGGTATTAAGGAAGTTAAACTCTTCGCAAGATTTGTGGTTCTTCTGAAAGTGTTGCTTCGTCTCCTCCGGAGAGGTCTAGACTCCTCAGTCTGTGGTACCACCGAGATGAGGCAGTGCAGCCTGCCCGCGGAAGGAAACACTGTCACCTGCTGAGTTAGGTGGCGTCAGTGTGAACTCCTGCCCCGCCTCGCACCAGCGCCTCCCCGCCCCCATCCCGCGGCGTACATTCGTGAGTTTGCTGGTTTACCTTCTCTTTAGGAAGTTTATTTTAGGTCACTGGCTGTCTATCCAAATGAGAAAGTCCTTCGTTTGCCCAAATCACTCGGTACGTTGTTTGAACAAGTTTTTATGACCTAACTGTATGGAATACTGGAGTGGGTTGCCCTGCCCTCTTCCAGGGGATCTTCCCAACCCAGGAACAGATACAACCCAGATCTCCTGCATTGCAGGAGGATTCTTTACCCTGTGAGCCACCAGAGAAGCCCAACCATCTGAATGGAATGAAAATTAATTCATTAGTTAATTAAAATAAATAAAACAACCATGTCCTGCTCCAGTTGTGCACACCAAGGATGTAGAGGCCCAGATCAAAGACACATGTAAAATCTGATTTAATTCAATCTAAGCAGAACAGATTTTGTGTGTGTGTGCATGTGTCAGAGAATGGCATTATGTGAGATTGCCGGAGGTTTTTAAATGTCCAGGACCAAAAAAATCAGCAAAACCCAGGTTATGGGATGTGATGACCAATTGCCAAACACATTAGAAAGGTGAACACCAGACTACTGGGGTATAAAAGATGGGGAAGATGAGGGATCCAGTCTCCCAGGTATTAAGAACAAAAAGTAGTCTGGGCTGTTGAGCCCTTGACCAGAAGCAGATCCCTGGCAAAGTGTATAAATGAATCAAAAGAAGAGCTGCCTCACAAGACCAAAATCAAGTAATGGGCAGAAATTGGACTTTTCTGAAAAAGTCAATAGCCGAAGAGATGAAAGCCACAGAATCCCCTTCCGCTGGGAGGGTGGGATTTGGCAGCCGATGTAAGCAGGCACCAATGGATACCTGTGAGTATGTGAGTGTGCTCCTGCACTTGGGGGCGGGGTAACCCCGGAGTGGGCATCCATGTGAAAATCAACATGGAAATGAATATACCACTCAACTCCACTTAACCAACTGTTCCTTTGCAGTCTTGGAATCATTCCTGGTGCCCAGTACCTGAGATTTTTTGTGGTTTGGTTCTTCAAAGTTTTCTGCTCCATCACATCATTTTTGTGATGATTGGCTGCATGGAAGCTGGGCTCACCAGCCCTCTCATATTTTGACTTGACCCCTCTCTGACCTGACCTCTGACCCTATGGAGAGCAATTTCTCCAAATCATTTCTAGCAGATGGTTAGGCTTCCTCAAGAGTGAGAACATTTTCTTGTTTAATCCCCAGGAGGACCCCACCAGCTGAATCCGCATGGCCAGCATCTCTAAACTGTGGATGTCGTGAATCCAGGCACAGGTAGCTCTGCGCTGTGCTCTGGGAGGTGGGTTCCTGTGTCTACTGAAAAAGATTTCCAGGAACCTGAGTAACACAACTAGTAGGCTGTGTGTGAGAAGGGCTGAGTGCAGGCTAAATCCAAATGCTATCCTGGTGAGGTGGAGGAGTCTGCTGGTTGTGATATGTAGTGTAATTGACAAGATTATTTTCACATGACCTTGGCTGGCCTGAACAATGGAACTGGCTAGAATTAACCCCCTCCTTCCTTCTGCCTGTGACAGGAGCCACACCCAAGCTCAGCTGACCACTGGACTGGGGGTTAATAGTATTCTGTGCTCCCATCCTTGGCTGGTTAGGGACATGGTAATATTCACAGGCCAGAGGTATCTAGTTACCGGCAACCTCAGACAATTCCTGTTACCGGCTGGCCCCCTGAATCTAGATTGTGTGTGGTGCCAAGCAGCCTGGTGTTCCTTCATTGACAAGGCTGCTTTCCCATGCCAGCTCTGTACAAAGGCAGAGTGATGGCATGAAGCCCTTTGGCTGGAGGGCACAGTGTAAAGCAGAACCAGTGACCACCAGCCTGGCTCACCTCCTCTGGATGAGGTGAGGGTCGGGGGGCGTGGTTGCTTCTCTTACTGACCTTGTTTTCTCTTTCCCCGGCAAAGTTGTGTGTCCTACAGTTTAATTCAAATCTGGGACTTTACCTGCAGATAGCATCACATCCCACAAGTTAAGGGCTCAGTCCCTGAAGACTACTCTGACCCCCACCTCCAACACCAATCGCAAGTTCAGATGCTTCTGACAGACCAGCTATAGATCAGAAGTTCAGACAACCCCTTTCTCTGGTTTGATCCATTTGCTAGAATGGTTCAGCAAAGAGCTTGCTTACTAGATTACCTATTAGTTTAGGGACTTCTGTGGTGGTCCTGTGGCTAAGACACTGGGCTCCCAAAGCAGGTGGCCCAGGTTCAATCCCCGGTCAGGGAACTAGATTCCGCATACCACAACTAAGAATTCGTATGTCTCACCTAAAGATCCCGTATGCAGTAACTAAGACCTGGGGAGGTCCAATAAATAGATACTTTCTAAAAAAAGAATTCATTAAAAAAAATGGATTCCTAGTTTATTGCAAAGGATATTAAAAGATACAAATGGGGACTTTCCTGGTGGTCCAGTGGCTAAGAGGCCACACTCCTAATGCAGGGTGTCTGGCTTCAATCCCTGGTCAGGGAACGAGATCCCACACGCTGCAAATAAACATTAACATGCTGCAACTAAGATAGAAGATCCTGCCTCCTGCAAATAAGTCCCGGCTCAGCCAAATAAGTAAATATTTAAAAATAAAAGATACAAATAAACAAGCAGGTAAAGAGATACTTGGGGCCAGGTCTAGAAGAGTCCAGGGCACAAAAGCTTCTGTCCCCAGGGAGTTTTGGGTGCCCCACCCTCCTGGCAGATGGAGGCATACCCAGCAGGTGTTCACCAACCAGGAAGCTCTCCCAAACCTCATGGCTCAGAAAGTCTTATGGAAGCTTCATTACACGACTACTAGTGACTAATTTAACCTCCAACCCCTCTCCCCTTCTCCGGAGTGGGAGAACGGGGCTGAAAGTTCCAACTCTCCAATCAAGGTTGGTTCCCTTGGCAACCTGCCCCCATCTGAAGGGGCTTTCCAAAAGTCACCTGATTAACATAAACTCAGATGTGGCTCAAAGGGCCTTGTTATGAATAACAAAATGCACCTTTTAAAAAAATGCACCTTAATATATCGCTCTTAAACCACTTAGGAAATGTCGAGGGCTTTAGGAGTTCAGTGCCAGGAATAAGGACGAAAACCAAAGATGTATTTCTTATTATAAATCACAATATCAGAAAGCCAATTTCCACGTTGTGTGATGCTATGGGATTTGTCTCGGCCTCGGTGCCTGTTGGGGGAGACCCAGAAGGATTTTGTCCATGGGAGACGCCTCTTCCCTGTTGCCCAGGACCCTCCAGGCACACAGCTTCAAGTGTGGGAGCCCCCCTGTGCCCATGGCTGCCCTGAGTCAGCACCGCGCCTGGAGCACCTCCGCTCCTCACCGCCCCACCTCTGCCTTCCCATTCCCGCTGCCACGGCCCCGGGTGTATCCTCCATGTTCCAGGTTTAGCTAGTGGCCCTTCCTTGGGTCCTACCCCACCCAATCCCACCACCGCACTTCACAAAACACTGTCTTCACCATGTCGAATCCCCACTTCACATCCACTAGATCCTCTCTGCTCATCACACTGGCCTCCTCTTTGCCGATCCCTGGTGGAGGCACTGGGAAGTCAGTGTCTCTCTATCCTCAGGAGCTTCCACGCAAAGGAGGAGGGACCAAGCAGTGATGAGGACTCCAGTGAGAAGTAGCAGGGCAGGGCAGGGCCGTGGGGTCCCGGAGGAGAGGCACCAGGCCAGGCCTGGGGGTGAGCCAAGGAGGCTGCTCAGAGGAGGGGACAGGCGTTTGAGACCTTCGCTGTCCTCTGCCTCCTACCTGACGGCCCGGTGCGGTGGTCTTCAGAGCCCCTCCCACTTCCTCCCTGTGTCCCATTCCACATTTCACAGGATCTATTCCCCACCCACCTCCTTTCTTTGTTTCAACATGCTTCTTCATACTTTGACATCAGAAGGGCAGCAGAATATGCCACTTCAAAATATGACACTTTGGTATATTTTGAGCTGCAGACATTTGAAGAACAGCGAACGCAGGGGGATTTCTCTGAATCCCCCATCTGTCTAAAGACAGATCCTCCTTTAGATGAATTGTCACAGATTCCCCTCCCCAGGAGTTTCATCAACCAGAGATTTATTTATCTGCAAAAAGGAGACTCGAAGTCCACTTTGTATCAGACAAACTTTGTCACAAACTGTCATATCTCCCATCTCTTCTTCTAAGGGCCCCTTTATCTTCCTTAAAAGTCATTTACTCTCCCCTGAGAGGCCTATATAAGCCCTCCCCTTTCCCTATTAAGATTGTATTTAGGGACTTCCCTGGTGATCCAGTGGCCAAGACTCTGAGCCACAGTGCAGGGGGCCCAGGTTTGATCCCTGCTCAGAAAACTAAAGCCTACGTGCCACAACCAAGATCAAAATTCCAGCACGC